GGGGGGGGGAAGTTCTGGTAGTAGAGCTGAAGGAGGCTTTGGTTTTGGCGTCGTCCTTAGCCCAGGTTATCTCGCGCTCCAAAAGTAGCCTGCGAGCTGCAGCTGGCGTGATGTCCGCAGCGACCCCGAAGAAGATACAATTGTCAGCCAGCGGATTGTGTTTGGCGTGGCTCTTCTCGTTCAAGCACTTAGGGCATGGCTTCTGGTACCCTTTCACCTGTTTTAGGGGTGTCACCCCCGGCGGCGGCGCAGGCATGGCAGTCTTGGAGGTCGTCATTGTCGGTGTTGAGCTCGGGGCTTCCTCCCCGGAGGAGAGGGCTCGCTGGATCTCGTCCTGTATCTTTTTGCGGCGAGCGTAGGTGCCCAGTTCCTTAAGACTGGTGCTCTCACAGCCGTAGTAGATGCATTTTGGGTCCTTGCGGTCGTGTCCTCCATGGTAGGCTGGACCCCTTTCGCATCGCACGCACCGAGGAGCTGAGTCTTGCTCTGGTGCCTTCGGGGATTCTCCCCGCTTCGGAGACATGGCGTAGTTGAAGGTATCATTCGCGATGCCCTCGCTGTAGTATCACGTTGCACAACGATGTTATACTGTGTCTCCAAGTGTGGATCTCGAGAATCCCTCCCCGCTCAAAGGCCGAATGCCGTCGGGTAGCGGGGCACAAACTCCCGAATGAACAGCAAAGCAGCGGTCACCGTTGGGCTCCGAACCCTTCTGGGTCGTCGGAGCGAACCTCCGTGGAGAAGAGCGCAAAGATATGATTCTCCTTCTCCAGCAATGCGGCAGAAGAAAAGGAGACAGGCGGAGAGAAATGGAAAGATCGGTTGTCCCGCGGGGGGGTGCAGACGAAGGAGAGAGAAAGGGCTCATGGAGGCCCCCCCACGGGCTTGAACCGCTCACGGCTTGAGCCAAAATGGCAAGACTCTCTCTCGCTCTCTCTCTGGTGGGGTCCGAGCTCTGCGTTGGGTCTTTTGGGGCTTGAGTCGCCTTTGTACGGCTGAAGTCGTTCAGCAAGTCGGGGAAAGTCACCGGCTGGCTTGGCAAAGACTTGAACATCTTGGTGTCAGTCTGCGGTCGCTTCTGCGCACTCGGCGGCCTCAGCGGAACAAGAGGCTGGGACAGCCAAGAGCTCTCGGTTCTTGCCTGCACCATTGTTCTGCCACCACGGCCGGCTAGCCTCACTTTCCTCTCGAAGGCCGACAGATGCTTCCTCAAAGGTATGGTGGCTTCGAAAGCAGACTGCGCAACGTAGTGCTCGGAGGACTGCGGACGAAAATTGAGCTGTCTGTTGTTGCATATGAAGCATCCGAGAGGTGCGAAATTGATTGCCAAGCTCCCTGTTGTCGACATTTCCTGCCCCATGCGAAATGTCATGGCGGCAAGAGCCTGTTGCACAATGTCCTTGCCAATCTCTAAAACTCTGGCAACGGCTGAGACTGAATGCTTCACTCGAGGGCACAGTTCCTTCTCAACAGCCAAACTAGAGACGTCCAGACCATGCCGACAAAAGAACTCGGCCACAGGTGCAAAGGCAACCTGCGATGGCTCAGCCCGCAAGAAGCCGAAGGTGCCCAAGCCAGGACAGAATATGCGTTTACCGCCTTCCATCTCCTTGGAAATCGACAGCGCCGTGCTTTCCCAAATGCGCAATACCAGTTCTGGTCCCTTCAGCGGGTGACCCACTGCTTGTGCAACACTCTTGGAGCAGTCATATGCAAGATGCTTGGCACCGAGGTCTGCATCAGCCTCAGTCAAATCCACTTTGGATCTGGGAGATGGAGACGGACTAAGCTCATCTGCCCGAGCAGTAACCAATCTGCTTGGGCTGTGCCCCTCTCTCTCGAGCTCTTGCGACACCTGGGACTGAACACTGGGACTTCCATCGCTGTCGGTCGACATATGTAGCCATAGAGATCAGAAGATCGGCGCTCGCTACGATACCCATGGTGAGACATCCTGAAGCCAAACACCGAGTGCGTTGGAAGGGCAGCGGGAAGCAGGAACAAGGAACCCTGGAACTATACATAAAGTCATGTGGGTGCACGGACCGAAGCAACACTCTGAACGACCAGTACATCATGGACAATCGTGTCAAAGCCCTGCCATGTCCCCGCACACTCGGCCTGAAACGGCGGCCCCCAAACATGTCCCAAGCCGGCATGTGGCATGGGAAAGTTGGTGCTATCATTGCTCTCGCTTCATGCTGCAAGACTGAATCTGTGCGGCATGCTTTGGCGTTTAGTTTCGGCACAATGCAACGAGTATAACAGACGTGCAAAGGGACAAGCAGCTTGCTACACAAGGAATACGACGATGCAGTTTATAAAAACCGAAATGGGAATATCTGCAACACAGGATACCATACGGTGCTGTGGCCTAACAATGTGAGCACAGGCTCTTGGCTTCAGGCTTGCATCGTGGCAGGCGCAGTTTTCAAACAGAAACTCTCGCGCTACCGCTACACTGCCTTTCTGTCGCAGCAGGTCAGAAAGTCAGAGAGAGAAAGGAAACGTAAGCCCCTGGCCACGAGACTTTGACGCAACGCAGCAGCCCGCGACTTTCCTTGCCAGCCAGCCTTATCGCCATGCAGCAACAGGATGCTTTCATGCCGCTAATGGCAGCCCGTTACCTGCGCTGTTTTCTGGCCAATCTTGATATCCAGAAGTCGCAGCCTGCAGAAATCGACGACTCCACGTGCCATCTTGCAGGGCCCGGGTCCCGGGCTTGGAGCATCCACACCGCAGATTCCGCATGACCTGGCGAGGGGAATTCTCCCATCCTTGCGCAGTTCGCCAGGTAAAGAGGGGTCCCTTCGATCCCCTGACGACTTCGGCATCTCCGGCCGAACATGCTAAGCAAGCTGCTAGGAGCTCATTTCGCTTCTCTTCAGATGGCGTGAGCTCCTGCACGGCTTGAAGAATCTCAAGTCCGCAGCTTCGGCAGGTGGACTAAAATTAGTAAGACCTCTAGCCATGTCATATGTGACGTGTCATTCTGTCATATGATCGCCTGCAAAGCAAATGCTAGTTCATGAATTGGATAGGAGGCCTTCCCCCCAACCGGGCGGCTACTGTAGTGACTAGCTGACTAGCTGGTGACGGCTAGTGGTGCACCGGCAAGTGGTGCTCGCACTTGTGAGCTTTTTGTTTGCCCGCGATTGCGTCAAGCACAGGTCCTCCGTACAGTTGAGAACTCCGGCATATTCCAGGGTGTAGCCTACACGGCTCACGGACGTCTGCTGCAACTGCTGGGATATGGCACGCACGATGCGTCAACAAACGCGCGCTCTTTGCGACTCCAAGCCGTCCGAGCCCTGAGCCAAGAAGTGGCTCCAAGCCGCTTCCATGTCGAAGACTCAGAGCCTCCACGCGAACCCGAGCATCGCTCCGAGGCTGAGCTCTGCTCCGCTAGCCAGACACCTATGCGACACGTAGATTGCGACAAGCTTGTTTGTTGCAAACGAATGCCACCTGCACCTTTCTCGCTACGGGTGCGAAGGTGCAGCCGGCACTCCGATCCTATGTCTCTTGCTGCAGTTGGTCCACAGATTCTGTCTAGAATCTAGTCGCTTTGCTGCTCATACGCAGTGGCTGGTACCTATCTACGCATAGTTAACCATCAGCCCTTACGAAGCGCCTCCTCATAGAAATTCACCTCATCCTCTGCATGGCTCAGGTCCTTGCCTCGCACATTGACATGCCTCTGAATGTGAGTATGAACTAGAACCTGCGTCCGAATCCGACGAACCTAAGACAGAGGATCCATGGCGTCAGAAACAAGCACACTGATCCGAATTGCTGCAAATGCCGGGAGTGCTGCCAATGAAATAGTCCACGGGCCTCACAAAATCCATGGCACACCACTCGACTCGAGATTCCGTTCTTAGAGCTGGGCCGTGCAGCAGTGGGCTCTCTCAGGCACAACCTGATGCCAAAGCAGCCGGTGCGCAGAATTTAAGCTCCAAGTTTCTCTGCCCAATGCGCTTTCGGGACCACCAGGAACTGCTAGCTGTTGGTCTTAGGGATGTGCGGGCGTCACTTTGTGATCCTGTGCGGCGTGCTGCACGCATGCTCTGGAGTCCGGGCTGGAACTACCCCTCGCCCACGGTGTGCCGAAACACGGAGCACAATCTGCTCGACCAGCACTTTTCGTTCAGTGAGCATCGGCAATCCTGCGCATACGCCCACGTTTGGCCGCTCTTAGTCAAGGTCCGTACATTCAAGATTCCCAGATTCAATCCGAATATATAACAAAAGAATAGTCCAAGTGATTCCGCAAAGGCGGGCAGAAATAGATGCCCAGCGACATATACATATCAAGATGCCGAGGAGGCAGCATGCAGCGGACATGTTGTTTTCTCGAAGAAATGCCGAGTCAAACGATCGACCAGTCGGACGATTTCCCCAACAAACCATTCACCGATGCCCTCCCACCCGGTAACCGAAGCTACCAAAAGCACGCGAAAAAACATTGAGGAAGGGAAAAAGGTTGCAAAAGGGTTGAACGCACCACCGCGCGAAAACTTCCCACAAGGCAGGTGCAAGGGGATGGTGGCTGGAAAAAGAAAATCAAGAAGTATCCCGAAATAGAAAGCTTGAAGCAAAAGCAACGCGGCAAGCGAAGTTCAAAATCAAGTGCAAGGCAAAGATGAACGTCGATGTTGACTTTCGGAGTTCGTATCAGTTAGAAAATCAAAGCAGGGCCCCAAGCCAAAAAGAGAAAATCGGGAAGTATCCCGAAGTGGGAAACATGAACCAAAAGCAGCACGGCAAGCGAAGTTCAAAATCGAGTGCACACATGAGCATGTTTCAAAAGAAGAAAAGTGCACATCGACTTTGAAATCTTGCCATCCGGGCTTTGAGGGGTCCCAACCCAAACGTTTAAAAGCCGACATCCACAGAACGGCACGGTCATAAGCACGTGCATCCCTTACCAACAAAAGCACCGATCAGTCGGTGCATCATCATTGCAATCATGTTGCTTGCTGGCTGATGCTGGCTGCTTGGCCCAATTCGCCGCGATCTGAGTGCTTCACCTGAAGAAGGCCGCGCTGCCGCCGGAGACTCCAAGTCTCTCCACTTTGGAATCGAAGAGGTTGGGACTCAGCGTGGATCACTGGCAGCACGCAGTCTCAATCAGCACCTCCATGAAAAAACACAATTAATCCCTGAATGTTCCGAGGTCTCCACTCCACGCGGGTTAAGTGGAGCCCGGCCTGCCGAAGCCGTCTGGGCACCGACAAAATTGCCATACTGCTGCTATGGGCCTGGGCATCACCGGGTTGCCTGCTCACTAGCAAGGCCTGCCAAGTGTTCGAAGCTGCTGCGACCCCACTTCCACTCTCAAGTAGAACGCGGAAGCCTTTCGGACCACTTTTGAGCTTGCACTGGCGGAAACTGGAGGCTGTCCCTTCGACGAAATCCTCCATATGACCGCAGGCCCTCGGCTCATACAACCGAGTCTGACGATGTCAGAGGTGGTGAAAGTATTGGCAAAAGGGGAGAACAAACACATCCCGAAATATCAATGAACAGATTGAAAATTTTGCATGAGCAGGAGGCTTGACCCGGCCGACATGGCGACTGCGCTCGGTCCATTCAACTAGAGAGTGGTCACTGCCTCCTGCAATGAAACCTTCCACCCACTCGAGGGGTGTTTGCAGAGACGCCGAGCTCTGAATGCTTCTTTTCCTGTCCACTCGCCTTTGAGTACAGTTCGGCGCCTCAGAGGGTGACATTGGCACGCCATCAAACCACGGCCTTTCTGTTTTGTACGGTGACATGCCCTGAACCTGTCAACAACAAAAATGAGTAAAGCTGGAGCACTCGAAGTACAGCTTTCTGGCCCGAAAAGAAGGCGGCTGAAGCGGCTGAGTTGCGCCAACCAGTGCAGCTTCAACATTCCGGGCAGAGCAAGCTTTGCCTGCTCCCAGATTATGACATTAGTCGTTCGTTTGTTTTTTTTGCCTCTGCGTGCCTGGCTTTGTCACGCAAGGCGACTGTACCAACTGTTCCTGTGCTGCCCATTGTGGCAAGAAAAGGTCTGTGCCCATCTGAATTGCAACAATGCAGAGCCCTGCGGCTGTTCACAACGAGGAGCTTCCGTTCCCGGAAGTCTTGCCTGGCAAGAATCGCTGGTACATGCTCTTGCTACCATGCATATATGAAAAACAGCTAATGCTTTTTCCCTAATACTGGCGATTTGAAAAAAAATCACGGCCTGCCGAGCCGACAAGACTAGTCGAGTTACGGAACTTAACGATGCTTCTTCCGTGCCGCAGATATGCAATCTCAAAGGGAAATTAGTGACATTCCCTTCAGTCCCATCATTCATGCCAGGAGAAGGCGGCAAAAACGAGCAGCACTGCTATCACGATCCTAGCCACTGCCACCCCTACCACCATCGACAAGACACGGACAAGGAAAACCACAACAACAACGACGACGATGCGGACGACAACCGCAATTGGCCACCGTCACCGCCACCATCACAACCAACCACTACCACGACGACGACGACGACAGCAACAGCAACAGCAACAGCAACAGCAACAGCAACAGCAACAGCAACAGCAACAGCAACAGCAACAGCAACAGCAGCAGCAACAACAACAACATTCATTAATTCATTCATTCCTTCATTCATTCACTCGCAGCGGGAGACGTCTCTGGTTAATGTGAAACTATTCCTCGCTTGGCGAACGACTGACCTACCTGGGAAAGGCTATCTCCGGGCTGTTGATATCACACTGCTGCGCTTGCCACCTGCGAGGAATAACTCCTTCGGGATTCGCAGTTGCCTGGTCCAAGCTGCCTGTAGCATGTTGTTGGCCGTGCCTTGGCCCTGCACCAACACGAGTCCCCGTCCTGCGAGACTGCAGGAACATGCTTTTGGCAGCTGCGCTTCTGCTGGTGATTCCTGCGGCGATCGATCTCCTTAGTTGCGGATCAGGTGAGCATCGCAAAACTTCTTGTGCGCAGGTCGAGCCTGGGCTCAGCACCTGCGAGGGCTACGGGCCTCTCATGCAGATGTTTGCGATGCTCTACTGAGTTTTCGAGAGTTCACCTTGCGTGACCCGTGAGCTGATATTTTGGAATTCTGTCAAGGTTTGGCATCAGGGAGTAACTCCCCTGTTAGTTAGGATTAGTAGTGGGGAGCTGCTTCTCCTGCTCCTGTTCGGTGAGACTTAGAATGGCCTCCAATCCAAAATTACCTCCTCGGAAAGGTTTTCAAGTGAAGCTTCTTGCAGGTCTGGATCAGGAGGCCAGAGTGGTGTTTAGAGTCAGCTAACCGTAACAGTCATAGAGCTCCCAAATTTTCTAGCTCCGAGTGGGCTACTATCCGGGAGTACCTCCTAGGAGAGAAAGGCTCAAGTTAGGGGGAATAGCTCCACCTTAATCTGGCTCAGGGTGCAGGAGTGGAGTTCGGGAACCTTGCAACCAACCTCCCTGTCCGGACCCGACCTGCGCCACCCCACTGCCTTCAGCAGGCACAGTCCCTGACACTACAGGTCTAAAGGGGACTAGACCACAGAGGCCTAGGGACCGGGGCTCTGTTGCAGTCATCGCCTGGCCTGTTCGGCTCGACAGATTTATTGGGGACCAAATTTTAGGGAGGACAACCTGACACACCTGTTTTTACCTAGGGCGAGGCAGCTGGAGTCCAAGCTTAACCAGTTGCAAGGGAAAGCGAGAAAGCAAGCAAGTCCGCAAGAGACCCTCCTAACCCGCAGCGACTGTGGTGCCATCTTCATAGGCACGGGAGCTCTCCGAAGACACTCACAGCGACAACATCCCGACAGCAGTACCTTGCGCAAGGGCCCTAAATTTGACCAAGTTCAGCTCTCTCGCCGAGGCTCGCCCGCATGTCTGGCCTGTGGACGTACTGTTGGGACGTGCTTCTATCTTCGGAAGCACATTGAAGACTACACCTGCCCGAAAGTTCATTTGCTCTTGCGGCAGGCTGCGGACGCGCAGGCTGCCTCGTCGGACCACCGAAAACAACATGACGACCTTCAGCAAAAGGTTCTTCATGACCCGCGGCGGCAGCTTATCCGGAGCTTCATTCCACATTCATGGAAAGCTGCGTACTCTGCGGGCAAGCTTTGGCTGGGAACAAAGCAGTCAAGCAGCATCTCAACAAGCAGGACCCGGAGGTAATGCGAAAAGTACTGCCCGTCATCACGCCGAGGCAGCAACAGCATAACCTAATGCTACGCAAAGGGGATCCTTGTCGCTACTGCCAGTCCAAGGTGGATGCTCCTGGAAGACACGCCTTGCAGTGCGTTCCACTGCTGCAAGCATATGTGCTGCAGGAAGCCTGCCGACACCAACTGGACCTTCAACCTAGATCATATGAACCAAGGCTCATGTCTCAGGAAGCGTCATCTAAGAGCCCTTCCACTCAGACAGGGCAGGCCCAAGTAGGAGCGGCTGCTCCAGTGCGCAGTGTTTCAGTGCTTGCACTAAACAGTAAGAGCTCTAGGCCAGGGAGTTCTGCAGGAATTTTTTGAGGTCAGCCGTCTGGCCAGGATCAACCCAGAGCACCCTTCCCTGGAGCAGATACCACGAGGATGGTCATTTGACGGCAGCATGACGCAGCTGAATTTCGTGTGAAAATTCTCCCTAATCTGCATCCACTCCATCTATAGGCACCTGGGAGACCCGCTCACCAATGGAGGCGGGATTTATTGTGGACGAGGAAGGCACAGCCCCCGTCCACCTGGATGTGCGGGTTGACCAGTCACTCCAGCGGATGTTGCAGGCCTGGATCCAGAAAAAAAGCTTGCACGCTCTCCTAAAGCCCGCAAATTTCGCCTGTATAGCCCTCCCTAGGTTTG